TATTGGTCGGGACTAGGTTGTCTGCACTGTAGAATTGGATTTTATCTTAGATTATAGCTTTTATACAACAAAGAAAGATCGGTATATCTTAATTGCAAATACAAGAGAGGCGGTAGATGAAATGGTTTTATCAAGACATAAAAAGTTCTTGAGTCTCCCACTAGTGTGTTAGAATTACAATTTAGCATCTGTGACATTACAAAACATGCGTATGAAAAAGGGTTGCATTGATCCACGAGGACATACTTTGACAAACCAACCTTTTATATGGAAATAACTAAGTAACGTATAAGTTTGCATTTATACAAAGTATATATATATACCTATTATAATTCTAAAAGTTCAAACTATACGACTTGCTATGTTACTTTTAATGTGGATTTCGTATCTCGATTAAGCAATTTTGTGATTAATTACAAATGATTGCAAATCTTATATAAAAGTCACTGGTAAAAAAAATTATATTTTAACTAATAACCAGTAATATATATATAGTACTATATATTTTCTATATATTTACTAGGTAATATATATATTGACTACGTAAAAATACATTAAACTGCATATATTACCTAGTATACTACATATTACTGGTTAATATTTAGTTAAAATATAATTTTTTTACCAGTGAGTGTAAATAAATAAATAAATCTAATGTTTCATAAAGATTTTAGGATAATTGTCTCTTAGATGATTGTTGATATATATCTATTATGTTATCTATCATGAGGCATGGTTTTTAGTGTTTTCGGTCCTTCCACCACTTCGCAATTTTTTTACGTTTCAAGAATAAAAGAATAGCAATAATGAGTACTGCCAGACATATGATAACAATAGCAACAATAGCAGCAACGCTGATCTTTTTCTGTGGTCTACCAGGAGGAACATTAACATAATATGGATCACTGCGGGAATTGATCATTTGATACGCCATTAAACTTTGAAATGGTGCATTATAATCCAGTGCAACCTTAAATGTAAGAAATCATATGTTAGTATTAAATAATTTAAGAATGCAAACTAAAATAATAAATTAAATTATAACCTCCGTTTGAGCATAATCAGATCTTGAATCACTAAATCGATCATTCTTATCTGGGCCACCCACAAGTGCACCATATAAAACATGCTGGGTTTGAGGAGGATTATTCAAATTAGATACATCAGTTCCACCATGTGCACCAGCATGATGGGGATTCTGTGGTGAATTTGGATGAACACCAACAACATATGGCGTGTTCATGGGATTTTTACCAAGAACATAATCAATCTGTGACAAAGCGAACGTTACATATGTTTGAGCCTTATCAGATGAAGAAGCAATCGGTGCATAAATTAAGCACAGGAAAGCAGCATCAAGAGATGGGTTTAAAGATGCAGAATTGCTGTCTCCGTCGCACCAATAAAGACCGCCATTGGTTAATGTACAACCACTAGTTTGCTTTACAACACCATCCAAATATCGTTCTGTCTCAGATTTCCATCTACTTGAATCCTGACCTGATTGTTGAAACAATTGTGCAAACAACACATAGCACGCACCAGACTTTTCATCCCAATTAAACACTTTCTTCGAACCACTCAATGAATTAGTGTTAAAATAGTTAACGGCTTTGTCAAGATAGCTAGTGTCATTTGTCGCTCTATATAACCAAAGGGCACCCCAGACCAATTCGTCAAAAAAATTTGACGAAGCATATGCACTTTTAACTTGGGGAACCGAATTCTGATATAGCGTGAAAGGAGTCTGTTCGGCAAAAGAATATAAACTTTTTGCGTATGTTAAAAGTGTATTGGCGTATTCAGAATCATTAAACTGATTACGAAATAGTAAAGACGACGCAGCCATTGCCGCAGCCGTCTCGCCTGAAACGTCGGTACCATGAGCAGAGGAGTTAACCTTTAGTGATGGACGTGAAGTAGGGATACTATAGGTAATGTAGAAGACCAATTATTTAATGTTTTGATCATGATAATTTTGAGGTAATCGAATATATATTATAAATACTTTGTATCAGGTCCCCAATAGTTAAGATCTGAATCAATGTCACCAATCATCACGTATAAATATTGGTCTATTGCATTGCTTATATTTGAACTTGTATTGCTCGTATTTGAACTAGCATTTATTAACCAATCAGTTCCCCATTTTACCATATCTCTCAAATATTGGGTCTGATTTGCTAATTCATAACCTTTACCCCACTCTAATGCACCCCAGGAAATAATTGTGATGGTCCATGATAGTGGAAAAGTAAACTTTACATAATCCCCTAATAAATATAATATATACAATGTAATATTTTTAATAATATAATATCGATATATACAATTTAGAATTAAATTAATCAATTGACTAATTAACGAAATTACCTGCATCATAATAACCCTGATATAGTTATATTAAAATATATGAAAAAGATCAGTTTAACTATTAAATTGATTCATAAAATTTAAGAAATGCATTTTTAGGTTTGCTTATTTGTCACACCCAGTAACCGCGAAGTTTATATAGATACTATAATTGGGGTGTGACAAATAAGCACTGCGGCGTGACAAATAAGTGAAATCATTTCGGAACACGAACACTCATTGAAAAGCATAACGTAAATAAAAATTGACAATATAAAAACAAAGATACTCACTTTACTTAAATCGAGACCGACATCTTGACCATCGCTTAACGCTGAATCATGCCTCCTGAAAAAATTATCCAACTTAAATGCTTTCTAAATAATTAGGCAAAGGCGTCGTTGAAAGCAAGCTTACCATGATACTCTGTTATCTGCAGGTAGTTTTCCACTTCTCTCCGCTTCGTAAAAATATAAAGAATAGGCTAGCAGCCTCGCATATTCTGGGTTAGGATAAGAATTATTACTTGGTTCCTGTGGTATTCCAGGGATTTGTGGAGGTTTTAACGCATAATTTGTCTGAGCCCGAGTTAACGAAGTTAAAAGCAGTAGACTAGCGATTAAGAGGGTCAGCCAAGCTCCTCTTTGTTGGTTACGTGCATGAAATTTCATGTAGAATTATTTTAAAGATTGAGTTCTTAAATGACTAACAGACATTCTGGAGTATTTATTAATGGGCGGGAAATAATCAAGCTAAGACGTTTGAAAACTTGAAGCTAATTTTAGAAATAAATCTAATTAATATTTAAACGTTAACTATTCCATATTTAGGTCATTATATATTAAATGATAATTTAAACCTCCCACGTGAATAATATTGTGTTAGGGTCAGAACCTTATAGGTCGTAATGGTCGGTGTTATATATAATTAGGGTTAGAGATTACCATGTATTATAGTACGTACTACGTACGTACAGTACGTATGTAGTTATCATTATGCATAATGCAGTTCGTGTAACAATCGTAAATGGTACCGGCGATAGGAGAAACTTGCATCCGATAAATTCCGAACGTGTTGTTACACAAACTATTTATATAGGCAATTGAAAATCTGATATATGATTGTACGATCCATTTACCCGTAATAAGTTAAACTTAAGGTACCCATGTTGATTAGTATAATTTTTTCGTTTTGGGTGTCTTTAGCAGAAGAACTTTTCTAATCGTTTTCAATCGTTTTCCCTACGGAGTTTTCATAAGAATAAAGGTAAACGTTTGGTAATTGGCAGTTTAATTATCAAGCCGAATCTTAGATTTATAAAATGTTAAAACGTGAAGGTTATACTAATATAAGATTTTACACATTTATTAAATAGGCCAAGCAATATAAAACTTTTAACAAGGCTTATTTCAGTATTTAGATAAGAAAACTAATGTATAGTAAATATGGTGATGCGGTCTAATTGATAGAATAGTTCAAGGGTGGTTACATATGACAACATGTTTTTTGTAAAGTATAATAGTTAAAAGATGGGTTAGAATTACTTTAGCTTTAAAAAAAGCTTCGCTTTTGTTGTTATTAATAAATTTATTTCGCTTCATTTCGCGTATCGAAAAAATTTTAAATTGATTTGATTGGTCAATAGTCACGCATAGATCTACATAAATTAGCCAATCACATAAAATCTTATAACCCGAGTTTCCTCTATGCTCTACTAGCGATAATTATTAAGCATCGATCTATTTTGGTAGCCTGCATTTTTTGTTTAGTGTTAATTTTTTTTTCTGAATAAGCATCAGTCTGAGATGGTTGTTTAAAGATAAGTCACTTCATTAATCATAATAAAACAAATTCGGAAGTAAAAAGATTTAGAAATTACTAATTAATATTTAACGTTAACTATTCATATTTAGGTCATTATATATTAAATGATAATGTAAGCCTTCCACGTGAATAATATTGTTCCAGTTATCCGCAATCTTCGTATTTGTTATCAAAAACAATCTCTTCTAAGTCAACATAACATTTGCGGATGAATATAACAGAAGGTTGGGATGGTTCCAAAAACATGGATGCCCGAGGGTAGTTGAAGAAACTTATTACTAATTTTTGCATTTTTTAGAACCTTCCAAAACTTTGAAAGTTTTTCATCAAACTCGTCTTCGAACTTCTGACGCTTTGTGAGAGGAACTAAAAGCTTTTCATCAGAGGAAATATTAACTTGTTTATCAAAGTAATTGGTTATTTCATTCAACGTTCTTTTTTTCGCCTGTTGTAAAAATGTAAAAATCAGTATTTTTTAAGAAAATACAGGTCGTCAGAATTAAGATACATAACCAACTCCTTCTTCAAAATCAGTATATCTTAATTAATGATCGACCAGGGCATATAAACTCCTATGACACAGTAATATGCAACATTTGGTGCGTGTCTGGGCCAGGCCAGGACGGATCCAAACGCTCTTCTTCCCGTTCTCGCAGAACAGGCGTAGCAAATTTACTGTATATAAGTGTTTTACCCAGAAAAAAAATACTGACCAATTCTTTTTTGATAGAAAATGCTGTTTTATAATTTGTTGAGTTTCGATTCTTTAAGTTCTTTAATATGATATGAATTTCCAAGCCCAGTGAACTTCGTTGCTGTCTTATTTTCTACTCTATAATAATTGTCCCACTTGTTTACACTCCATTCCGAGGAAGGTTTACTCCAAAACTCTGTTATAATTTATTATTAGAATATTTGCATTATAAATATATCAACAACAAGCACTTACTAGGATACCGAAGTTCTGTCAAAACATCATTGGGAAGTTTGCTTTTTGGCATATTGATAACGGAGTTTGGAAAGTTTAAAATAACGTGACAAAATTTAATAAATCCTGTGATTATTATATTAGCCAATCATTGCATCAGGGTCATTGTTTAATAAAGTTACGGTATAAAAACAAGTGCGAAAAGAGAAAAGGCGTATAATTACAAATACTATGTTAAGATATTACGTAATGTCCTTAGGGACGCACCACAAAATAGGGATGGCAAATGTTTTAAAACGCGATCTTAAAAATCATGTTTGTTTGATTTAAATCAAAATTAGGTGTAACGTAACGCGATCAGGAAGATTCAAAACAAACGTTCGTTTTGTCAAAACTCGCTCATATCTCAAAAATCAGCATAAGAAACTACCTTTTGCGCTATAACAAAAGGTTTTCGTTGGCCAATTTTACCATATAAACTACCCCACGCTAGATCCTAATCTTGACCCTAAATCAAACCTTAACGAATTTTGGGAGTCGCCAACCTTGTACACATTTTCGGTATGCCTGATTGCGTAATTTAGTATTTATGATGACTAATATTCAAAAAAAAAAAAATTTTAAAATTAAAAAAATTCTTCAAAGCAATGTTTCATTGGGGTTGTCTGTCAGCTAAAAAATTAGAATCCCAAGCTTTGAATGAATCGATAGAAGGTCTCCGCAATGCAAGTTACAGAGCCAAATTTTATATTTGTTTAAAAAAATTTGGCCAGAAGCTTAAATTTTGTCTGGATTATCCAAACAAATACACTACACATAAAATAAGTTAGAAAAAAAATTCGTTCTCCATATATAATATAAAAAATGGCTCTGTAATTTTGTTACTGGAATAGAAAAAAGTCGATTGGCATCAAGATTTTCTGCAAAAAAAAGAAAATTTCAACCTGTGCATCTAAAAAAGTATACAATTTTATATATTTTTATATATAAAAAGTACACAATTTTATATATTTTATATAAAATATATTACTGATTAATCATACTAATTAAAAAAATTTCAGTAAGCTCTGACATTAGTGACCATATATAGTTTTGATTTACTTAGTTGACATATACCCCAACTTTCCGTGTTCTAACAAAAAAAAAATTCCTTGCAAAATTTTTACTATGTGTTCAATTAGGCTATTGATCGAAAAGCAGGATTTTCTTCATTCAATAGGAACTAGGGGGAAAATTAGTAAACTTCACAATTTTCTTAGAAGTTGTTATATGCTATATTCAGTAGGCATAGTATATATCACAAACACAACATTTGATTAGTTTTGCAAGCCTAATTTATTTCATGTGACGGTATTGAAATATGCCTGTGTTTTAATCTGAAGTACTATCCTAGGGGTACTGAATATAGCGCTCTAGGGTACTACAGTATCTGTCATATTCTCTAAATACGCATTGCTTATTAGATCCTTTTATCAGAAAAATTCTAGTAAAGACTTAATGGGTAGCAAAATGGTTTATATTGATATTATTGTTATTGGATTGGAAGTGCTTTAAGAATATGCCAATGTTTATCTTAAGTGACAAAAATTAGACATGTAATCTAAAAATCATATGTGATTTTGCAAAAAGTTTTATTTAGATCTCAAATAATATGGGCAGACTTGCAGAAACTCTAAAACCCTAGCATTACCAACTTAAAAAATTTTGCTAAAAAAAATTTCGCAGTTAAATTAAGGTTAGGTTTTGCTATTAACTTAAGTTAAAGAAAGTTTTTTTAATACTAAAATTTCACAAGGAAAATTTTTTGTTAATGCGCAGAAAGTAGTTTCATAGGTAAAATGTTGAGTTATGAACGATTTTTTGGTTTGTTTTGATTTTTTTTTGCATTTTTACATGTTATACTGGATCTTGAATTCTGATTGGTTGGCGAAATACTAGCGAAATTTTTTAGGGTGATGCTAGGAGGTTCAGAAACTCTAGTGGACTTCGGCTATATTAACAATAATTTTGTCTAAATCTTTAAAATTTCAGCGAAAATTCCAGAGTATACTGAAATTTTTTAAAAATAGCAGAAATATCAAAGATCTTGCATAAAAGCATATGTGCGAAAATTTTTGATGGAATATTATGATCATTTAAAATTAAGGATACAATAGAATTATATAACCACTTCTAATAATAATAAAAATATATTGTGCATTGTCATTATGTCAAAATATTTATAAGCAAGTATATATTTAACTAGAGATGTTAACAGTCCAGTTTGGTTAAATCTGATCTATTTTGGTCCAGATTTGCTCTGGTCTATTATGGTCTTCATTCTTAAGACTTTGTCAATCCAGACCAGTTCAGAGTTGTCTGGTCTTAAGACGTAGAACAAACCAATTTTTTTCAAGTTTAGACCAGCCTTATAAAAAATGTTGGTCTGTGTTTATTATTCTATGTTTTTTCTATGAAAGTTATATTTTTATAAAATTTATAACCTTAAATCATTGAAATTTTTATCTCTCTAATACAGATATCTGTAAATATATTATTTTTATAGAATTTTTACAGAGATCACAGAGAAATAATAGAAATATTCAGATAAAATTTTTATAGGAATATAAGTATATTTTTTTTAATAAAATATAATAGTTCAAAATTTTATTATAATAGATAAATAATTTATCTATATATAATAATAATTTGATAAAAATTAATTGTAATTTGAAAAAGTTTTATTAGTGACAATTTTTAATGTTATAGTAAAATTTTAAAATTACATGTTAATTATATGAAAAATAATTTATATACTATCTATCCTTAAAAATTATCGATATATATTAATTTAACTACAGTACTGGACAGTCTAAGATATCTATTTTTATTTTATTATTAAAAAAGTGCCAAATTTAAATGAAGACAGTATAAGATATT